CGCGCTTCCGCCAGAGCTCCCGGATTCGCTTCATATCACCCTCCCTATACGCGGCGTCTAGATCTTTGTAGACCTTTTCGGCGTCCTTTCCGATAAGGAAGGCCTACGCGCAGAGATTCATAATATGCCCGAAGCACCGGAGGCATCTGCGTTTTCGCTGCTTATCTAACATCCTTAGGTAGACAGCGCGCAGTACAAAGTCAACGCACACATCGTTGACCGATACGTTATCGGACATAAAATAGCCAACTCGGTCCGTAATCTTATAATCTTTGATGACCTGCAACAGGACATCGCCGATATTCTCCCCTGAGTATTCCCCTTCCACTTCGCGTAGCGCCAAGATAGCAGTTCGACGCAGCCCAGATTTGTCGATAAAATATGCTGCTACTCCAAGCACTGCGAGGTAATTCGGCGACGTCCACAGATCGAAGGACAGCGAAATGGAACTCCGACTGTCGAGCATATCCTGCCGCAGTCTCTCCTTCCTCACCTCGAACATATTCATCACCCACTGGCGAATAGTTGATGCTGCCTTTGGAAGGAGATCAGCTAAGGGTGGGAATAGATAGAAGAGGAGGTCGCGAAAGTAGTCATTCTCGATCTGGAAGAAGGCGATATGGCAACAGACTAGCCAGCGGACTAGGAGTTCCTTGAACCGATCTAAGCGGCGGGAGAAGATAATCGATTTCATATCCTAGTAATCGGATATCGAGGGCTAGCTCGAGTCCACCGAGTCTCCTCGAAAGGACTTGAGTTCTCCAGTAGTCTTGTCGATATAATGTTTCAGGTGGAGATGATCAAGTGCCGTAGAATTACCATTTGAGACTACTGGAAGTTCTTATTAACGACGCTGTTTCTCGCAGAGGTAGCAGTACCATACCCGTTTCCGATCTCTCTTTGACTATAGATCCTCACCGTATAGCCAGATCACCGACGTGCGCTTCTTTATTGATTTAGGGCCCCTTGCGATCACAGAACAGCGAGTATATTGCTCGCCCTAAAGCTTAAACTCATCTGGCTGGATCAGGGCATCCGGATCGCGACTACCGGTATTGTTGATCGATTCTGGAGCGAGAACAACATTGTCTGACTCTGAAGACCTAAAATACTTCGAACACCCGTTAAGTTGCCAAGGCAAGGGACTTAACGGCTGAATATCCAGCCCGAAGGGTAAATACCGTATACCCGCTATTAAACTCTTCTGGGGGAACCCCCTAGATCCCCTTTTCGTCTGCGGCGATAACCAGCTATTTAAACCACTTCAAACCTGTGGTAGGGAGTTGACTGATAGACATAGGGGTCCCTCTACCACTTCCTGCCAGGCCCAATCAACTATATACCGTATATCGAGTTCCCCTTTCCCTATAGCTTATAGGAAAACGTCATTTAGTCAATGTACCGTGGTGGATACGGCGGATCGATCAGCTGTTGAGCCTGACGGCGTTGTTGGTCAGCAAGGCGCATCTTCATCCCTGCTTTGTAGTTAGCCATAATCGCAGTACGTAGGAAACGCAGGCGTATAAACCTTCCGTGGGCGTGTGGTTATAGAGGCTGTGACGATCGAAAGGCGCCTCAAGCAGTAGGCCTTTCAGCGAGGTAACTCGTGAGACAGCAACATAACTAATACCGGCCTGGAAGTCGCGTGTAGCGAGGTCAGTAACTATCTGATCCTTCGTTAGACTCTGGCATTTGTGAACAGTGATAGCAAATGCCACGATCAGGGGAAACTACTTGCGAGCGCAAGTCTCGTTGCCCACTAGGAAATCACGCGTGACTAGAAGGATGGGTACGATTTTCCTGCCCTCGTTAGTTGTTAGATACGGCGGTCCATCGTAGCTATCGAAATCCACCATAATAACGGCCGGAGGGTCTTCCCATGGTTTGGCGCCTTCATTCCAGGCGATATCGTATACAGTACCCTAGGCGCCATTCACTAGGCCAGCTGGCTGCCATAAATTAGTCGTGAGCATTACCCTAGCGCCCTTAGCAACAGGAAACTTATTGGATAGATTGCCAGCATGGTCGCTTGGCGCCTGCCCCGCGCCGTTGCCCTGGTTCTTTGCCTCCACCTATATTGCCGGGGCGTTGAGGTGCATCATATGCTCGTAATTATACTCGTTGACGCGGGCCTTCGTAGAATACACCCGCATAGCGGCCCTGAATCTATCAACCTCGCTCTGCGTTAGCTTGGCTTATACCCGATTGCTAAGGAGGTCCCAGGACGGTATAGATAACTTAACTTCACGCAGTTCTTGCAACGCCTGACGGAACCGGGCCTGATCATCGCCAGTCTGTCGTTGTACCGTGGTCAGAAAGACGGTGCGGTCAAATAACCGGTAGGCCGCCTGTCCTCTCCTTTCCAACGAAGAGAGGCTAGTGCTAGTCGAATACAGGGGCTTTTGCCGGACTGGTGGTAACTAGAAGAAATCGCCCACAAGCAAGACGCTCACACCACCAAAGAACTCGAGGCTACGCTATGGAAAGGCCTGCCGCAGGCGGGAATCGATCCGCGCCAGCTGCTCAAGCCCTAGCATGCTCTTTTCATCAATAACGAGGTATCTGACGTGCCGTAGGCGGGACTGAAGGCCGGCTGCGTCGGCTGGAGGAAGGTCGGCAAAAGCACCACCTACTGGGAGGCGTAGCAAGGAATGTATGGTGCTGCCCTATATCTGGTTACTCGCAACGCCTGTTGGGGCTACGCGGCAAATAGGGCTAGGATTCGGTAGGGCAGCCGCCTGAAGATGGGAGGAAAGTACCTTGATAAGGAAGGACTTGCCTATACCACCACCACCGTCAACGTGGAGAAGGATTTGAGCAGGATTTTGCACGTGGAAGTGGCCCATGAAGGTGTCGTACACTAGCCGTTGTTGTGAGTTAAGCTGGTCACGCCAGTGAGGGCCAAGGACCTCCACATCGTTGGCTATAGGGTGGCTAGCGATAAGGTCTTTCCAGTGGCTGTCTCGAAATTCCGGATAAGTGCCCACATGCCGTTTCCAGTCGTAATTGACGTCGATATTGCGGCGGCCAAGTAGGTCAAGACCTTCCTAGGTAAGGGGGTTATCAGGTAAAAGGGCGGCGAGGCGGATCCAGTCTTCGTCATCAAATTCCTCCTCCACAGGCAGAGTCTCGTACTGATCCTCTTGAGGTTGTAATCGAGCCTCTTTTGGCCGGCCGTAATAGTCATCACCATGACTATGGTGCTGCCAACAATAGGAGAAGGCCTTAGCGTGAGAATTAAAACGCTGGCCGTCAAATATAAGGAGCTCATCAAACCGGCGATGTGGGTGGTTCAATGTTAGCTTTACGCGGCAGTAATCTGGCCACTGTTGACCTTCTGGATCAGCCTGATAACGAGGAAAGTAGACTAATACACGAGGCCTGCCGTTAACGTTGCCCGGCTGCCATTGCTTCCACATGGAAGGGTTCCTAGAGCGGAAGTTCCAGTATTTGAGAAATGAAACATATGTCAGATCCTCTAGGTCTTCTGGGCGTTGACGGTACTTTTCGTAGACGTTGGGGGCCTCGTCAACCTCATCGCCGTCGATCCGTAGGGAGCGGGAATGCCTATCAGGATTACGGCAGTCAACGTGTAGGCAGGTTCGTGAGCCCTCCTGTAACGGCAGGCCGAGGAGCAAGTGGCTAACCTCCTGCTTCGAGTAGTCTCGCTCAGCAACTAGCTGATTTAGGAGCTTTGACGTGAAGGAAATCAGGGGGTTGTGGTCCTTGACCCGGGGCATCAGGGCCTTCCCAATCTGAGCAAACGACTCGCTCTTCTTTTCAGACTTGGAGCAGTATTTGGCTGCGTAATCGATTACCTGCTATAGGCTCGTGCAGGGCGAGACATCTGTATTGGCTAACCACGCAACGGTTAGCAAGCGGTTGTAGTGGTTGATCTGGCCATCGTTGCGCTCGCCCCTGAAGCTCCAGTGCTTAGAATGAGGAACCTTATCAAGGGAGGCTAGTAGGCGCTGCGCGTGAGGAAATCCAAAGCGGCACTCTACCTGCTTGGTATGCTTATTGAGCTGCATACAGTAGTTATTGCAGCGGTAGCGTTGCACGCGGTTGACTACCATTGATAGGAACTAAACGGTAAGGGGATGCTCCAATAGATTACTGATCAGGGGATTCCCTTCCCCAGGCGCCTGTATCCGCCGAGGCTCTGGGTTAACAGCAGATACGTGATATCCCCAGATTCGGGCGAATCGCTCCCGGGACTGACCATTATCAGGATCTAAGTCTAGGTGACCACTTAGCCAATATAGGCCATGGTGGTGACTAGAACCCCTGCCCTGCCACTCGTAGCGACCCCAAAAGTCCATTAGGTTAAACTTCTGCTTCAGGACAATAGTCCTAAACAGCGTATAACGCTTATGGAAGTAGTAAGCGGCAATGTGGGCGTTATCTCTCAGTAATTGCCGGGACAGGGCCATCCGCGCCGCCTCAGGAGCTACTTTCCACTCTTGAAATCGAGGCATATGACGATAAAGGGACTCCCAGTGGTAATCAGCCGCACTTACTATAACGAAAAGGCCAGGCCTGCCTAGATTGTAGGCATATGCCTCCAATTCCTTCCTTTGCTTATACCAATATGGCCGGGTGCCCCTGATTACGGCGGCTTGGCGCGTGATCGACTGGATCAGGGCCTGAGCCTCTGGCTCGTCAGGCTCAGCCATCGCTTCCTCTATGTCAGCGCGCGTAAGGGGTTGACGGCGGCCTTCGTGTTGCTTGACTAAGTAGTTGCTTCGCTTTCTGACCTGCGCACGTAACAGCGTGTTGAGGGCGACGAAAGGCCACGTCTTATGGCGGGCAAAACGTCCGTCTTGCCATCTCATCGCATGGGCAAGGTAGTCCTAGTACGTGATGCTCCGTAGGCGAGGCTCCACGAAGTCCGCCTTGCCGTCAGGGTAGAGAGTAGGGAACGCGAGCGTTAACAGCGGCTGGGAACGGTTGAATTCGTTGATAGGAGTCCTGCGAATAGAAGGTAGTGGCATCTGGTGTTAAGCCTGCGCGCTAGGCGGCATATGCTCAAGATCGGCCATACGCTCGGGGTCGGGGGTACCATGAAGGAATCGGGACTGCAGGGCGTTTAATTCGGTATCGGTAACCTGCAAATTCGGGATCGCCGATGCGTCTACATCGCTAGGATCCTCTTCTACAGCCTCCTCAACGGGGCCTTGGGGGACCTCGCCGTCAGGTATATCAGCCACTTAGCAAGCGATGGAAGCAACTATGCTGCCGTCAAGAGGAAGCCGTTACAAGCGATCCTGCCTCACGACGATATCGCGATAGCCCGGGTGGTGGCGCTGTAGGTAATACAGCCAGGCCAGCAGACATAAGCGGCGTACCCGGAAATCGCGAGCGAACTACTGCTGCAAGCGAGGGTCGCCCTCCATATTAGGAGGCCGCAGGAGTACGATATCTAGCTCTTCAGGTAGGACTGGGAGCTCTTCAAATAGCCTACCAACATTGCGAAGGAAGTGGACAACGTGACCGCGGTATTTGTATTGAGCACCACGTACCTGTAGGACCTTCACGTGTACGTGAACCCTAGCAATCAGCATCTCCTCAACCATTATTAGGCCAGGTAGATTACCGGGGACTTCCCCGAAGTCAAGGTTATTCGCAGCGCTAAAGAAGTAGGGCTCGTTAGGGGTTCTCTCCCTGTCTCGACTAATGCAGCGGCTGCAGATTTTCAAGCTATTTCTCTTCATATCGAACCAATGCTCCCGGCAGCGAATGCAGCTATGCATCTGGTCGTCATTCAGGGCAGTATAGAACTCCCGCACAAGGGCCTGATCTTCCTCACTAAGGGCAGGCAAGTTAAGGTCCCCTATAAAAGGTGGATCAACTATCTGATCAAACTGTCGCTCTTCAGCATGTGCGCTTTGACGTGTATAGCGGCCGCGACGATGACCCTGTGGCAATAATGAAGGAGTGGTAGGGAACGATTCCTGTGGTATAGGCGTTCCTAGCACAACAGGAGGCGTTGGAAGAGTGCCTTGAGGAATTGGCGTTTGAGGAATCGGCGTGCCCAGAACTACTGTTGGCAGGCAAAGGGTAGGAGGGATAGGGGAAGGTCCCTCTACCGCGCTTGGGGTAGATGGCCCCAGCAGAGGTCTAGGCGGTCCCTGGAGAGCGGGCGCTAGGCCACGGAATAAAGCAGGTGCGGCAGGAGGTTGTAAGCCGTGCACAGACGCAGGCGTTGGCGCAGCCCGCCTTGGAGGCGTCAGGTTAGCTAGAGAATCGGTCCTTTTCATGGCTCGGCGTGGCGATAGCCTTGAGGCGATATTCCGCATGGCGGCAACGGCAGCTCGGGATCCAGTTTCCCGTTCCCTTCGGCGTGCCCTACAGCTAGCACACTCTCCTGTAAGCTTCGCAGGGTCCTTGACGCTTCGAAATTCGACTTCGGGCAGGTCTTACTTGCAGGTACGGCAGTTCCGAACCGCCTGGGGTATATCGTCCTCCATCTGACCGTATATATATCCACCTCATACCCACCTAGACTGCTAGATATCACTCGGGCAGAGAGGCTTTGCGACGGCTTACGTCCAATACCATGATAGATCTCGATAGAGAGGTTGTCTTTGAGGTAGTTAGATCAGGTCTGAATGATCAGGGAGGAAACTGCACTGCTTCCCGGAGGCGGGATAACCGAGGAATCTTGAGAGGTAGGCCGGCTGCGGAGGTAATATGTGAACCTAGATACCGTTAGCAACCTGATGGGTTTGATTTGATAGATTCGACGGAAAGGGAAGCAGCCGCCACGTAGGTTAGTGTAAGGAGCAAGGGGCACGGGGCTTATTCAGTCAGAATCGTGCTTAGAAACCCAACATATTGATTGCATTGAAGAAAAGAAGAACCTGAAAGCTCTTGGAGAGCTTGCCAAGCTAGTTACCTAGTCAACGCTCAGGGGTTTGTGGGCCTTCATTTTGGTGGCCGACCAATTCGTGCACGAGTTGAGCACAGGCCAGGCCAATTGGCCAATCAGAAGAGGTTTTATGGTCTTCTTTCTAACTGAGTAAAACGCCCTTCGGGCTGAATTAGAAGAGCGAGAGAAGAAGCGGGTGATTGTTGGTGCGGCCATGCTGGGACGTTAATTACATTATGGGTCAAATGGTAAAGGGCATGTTATCGGGTTCGTGCTGCTGCATATTATGTAGGCAAACGGACGTCTCACCTTCGCGCTGCATTACTGACTTGGTTTGCCGATGGTACTCGACGGGTTTAGCATCGTGGAGACCAATCAACACCACGCGGAACAATGTGCCTGAAACAAAAAGTGGAGTTCGGGCTCGCTTCTTTCCTAATTAGGAATGGTCCATTGGCGCTCCAGGAGGCTCCAGACCTCTCGATCCAGTCCAGTCCAAATTTCTGAAACTGTGAATCCAGTCCAGCCAAATCCAGTCCATCCAAATCCACTCCAATGCTAGTCCAGTCCAAGAAGATCACTGACCTCTACTACAGAGGCGGAGTTATTGTCCCTTGCGCAAGCCACCAAGGAGGCTATGTTCGTATCGCGGCTGATCAAGGAGATTGGTGTGGAGCTTGATTCATCACGATTGAACATCTGGTGCGATAACCAGCAGACGATTCGGCTCGTCAACGCAGATATCGCGATGCTGCAGACGAAGCTCCGTCACGTCGATATCCACAATCATTGGCTGAGACAAGCTGTTTCCCGAAAGACGATCAAGGTCGCATATACACCCACCGGCGACATGCTGGCTGATGGTTTGACGAAAGCACTGCCGACTGAGGCATTCAGGAAGTTCAGGTCACAGGTTGGGCTGGTCGATATCAAAGATCGGATTGAGGCAAGGAAGATCAAGGTCTTGACAGAAGATGATTTTGATGCTGCGGAGGATGCCCTCTCTGGCGGAGAATCAGATCTGATTTCCGGAAAGATGGATGACCTGTGTATCAATTGAGCTGGCAGTCAACGGCCTGGGCAGTTGCCTGAGGGGGTGTGTTGGAGAAGTGGCATGCATGATGATGTTACACAGGCAGCCACCTCAAGGGAAGATGTCACCCCATGATACCTTAATTGTCAGAACAGCGTTACAGATCTGTTGCAGGATCAGCAGGTCTAGTATCTTGGTCTTGCCCCCTCAGATACAAAGACAACGAGGGAGAACGAAGAACAAGGAGGACGAACACAAGGAACCTCATCAATACACTCAAGATCATCCCAATATCATCTTTAATCATCAGTTACCTAGTGAGGGCGCGCTGTCTAACAGGAACCTCATCAATACACTCAAGATCATCCCAATATCATCTTTAATCATCAGTTACCTAGTGAGGGCGCGCTGTCTAACAACTACGTTGGGAACCTCGACCGTCACATTGTATTTCCGACTCGCTTATCATGTACGTTATATAATGTATAAAAATATCAAAAAAAAATACCTTTTAAAACCTATGTAAAAAAGTCATAAGGTAAACCTTTTTTAGATTTTAAAGAAATTTATTTAGCTATTAAATGTTAAAAAAACTTAAAAAAGACAGTGTGTAACGATGCGCCGCCTGATGGAACGGTTGGATCGGCGTGGCGACATGGAACGGAGTAACCTCGAACCGAGGGCCAATAAGGATTGGAGCGCGCTTTTCTACGGATCGCAGCGATCCATGGATCGCAACGATCCAAGGTGCTTCACGATCCATCAAGAAAGGAAACAAGTATATAGTTTCGCTCATTCGCACATCTCCTGTCCATCTAGCTCTCCAGCTTTCAATACAACTTGATTACTCAAGAATACTTCTTGATATTATCAGACGTGATTCGCCACCCTACGCTCAGTACGTTACGCCCCGTTACAACTGCCAACATAAACCAATTCGGTTACGGTTTACTACGTTGGGAACCTTGACCGTCACACAGTGTGAATAAGGTTTTTTTTTAATAACTAATAAAGTAATTTTTTTTAAAAGGCTAAGAAAATTCTACTATATAGAATTTCACCTAATTAACCTAATCTGAAATTTTGAATTATTTTTACCTTAATTTGAATTTTTAAAGAATTCTTTTCTACTTAGTGTAAACTAGTACAAATTTCAAGTGTTTAATTCGCTTGTCTGTTCAACTCGCTTATCAAGTACGTTAACCGCTTTTTAAGGTGGGGTTTGGGAAAGGGAATTGCTATCTCCTTGCTTGCGCGAAGACTGCCAACGCGTACTTTGCAAGGATCTAAACCAATTACGGTTAGTAGCGCGCTTAGCCCACTCTGGCTGTAATATAATAATATCAGCCGTCTACAGCATTTCTGAGACGCTTAGATAGTGCCTTAGCAGTGGGGCGAGTTGTCGGATACGAGGGTGGTAAGTCAAGATGAATGATAATTTCAAGATGGAGAACAGATCAGTGATTGATTCAACTCTCTCTCGTCGTCTTCTTCCTTCCTCGTCCTCATTATATTTGACGAGGCGAGGCCATGATACTAGACCTGCCGAACCTGCAACAGATCTGTAACACCCCTCTGACTCTTGTGGTGCACTCGTGTGACAATCTGGGTAGAGGCATATGCAACACGAGTACCCGTTGGCAGTCTTCGCGCAAGCAAGGAGATACGGGCATGACATTTTGGCTACACGGGCATGACTCTTACACGGGCATGACTTTTGTAACTTCTGATTGGATAGGACCCTCTTTTGTTAGCAGATCTCGGTTCTGCCGACAGCTCTAATTTGTACCTCCAGTTTTCATCCCTTAGTGACTGACGGGACGCTCTCCATCTGATAATTAGCTATCCATTGCTAGTCTCACAGCCCTTGACGATAAGAACCTTCATCATGTCCCAATCCGAGCCTCCTCATAGCTCAGAGAGCAATTGAAGACGCCGAACCCGAAGGCCTAGCCCGAGCGATCAATCACATCATTGAAAACGATAGCGACAGACCCGACCAGCCAGGTTCAGCCCGCCGCTGCTTACGGATAGACCACAGTCAGCTTCTCTGCGAAGTGGAAGAACTACAGGGATACGTGCCAGCGGACGGAGGACGCAACCAAGCATCTGGAGGCGAAGGGTTCAGTGGGAGATGGTTGAGAGCGACGAGGAGGTTCTTTCTTGTATAACAGTTAGGAAGTAGAGGTGTAGATAGCTGCCTTCGAGGGCGTAATAGAGTTGGCCTTGTTCCGTATGGAAAGCCAGACCTTAACTTGACGCCTGTGCATGACTTGTTCAAGGGGGCTGGCCCGACTCAGGCTGGTCATCAATTCAATTCCATCAATTTCGCCTTCGCGTGGCGTTGCGTTGACAGCTTACTCAGCATTTGGCCCGTGGAGTTGAACCACCGTATCTCCGGATTGAATTGATGGCGTTGAATTGAAGTGGTTGAACCGCATACCCGCGCCGAGATCCCATCGTTTACTCCCCAGCGTCTTGGCCATCTTCCTCTGCCTCCCATATAATACTATTCCAACCTCTCCTGACACATCAATTAACGTATCCACCGCGTCGATTAGGCCATTCCGCACTCACGACCTTAGTGTCTGTGTCATCCCTATTGTGCTAGCTTCCAATCGAATCCGCAGCGGTGAGACCATTTGCCCAGCAACACTAATCAAATGCTCGCACTCTGCCGATATAGATGGCTCCGACAGTAAGTTAAGAGCCATTCGCGACAGTCAAGGGTAATATTTCTGTCTCTCCCACCAATATTGGATGGGATCCGTGACAAGAGGGTCGTTCTGAGCGTCGGGACTCGACAACCAATGGCCATATTCGCCATGGTCTGCACTCAGCGAGTTTTCTCAAATAATATCTGCCTGCCAGAGACGAAGTAGGTAAGGCCTGCAAACCAATTCCCTCTTCATGTGAGAATTGCGGGCTTGAATGTCGAAGCCATGCTGCTAGACCCATGAAGTCTGTGTGCCAGTACGTTTAGAAATCGAAAAGGCCGGAAACTTGTTTTATGGGAAGATTTTCCAATCGTCTGGCAAAGCATCTAAGTTGATAAGCGGCGCACTGGATGCGTTGCAGTCCGAAGGCTGCCGGCGCTTGACAGGTACGTTGGCGTCCATTTGGATCCCAGGAGGGAACGGGATGCATGTAATGTTTTTGCTGAAGGCAGTCCTGAGGCGCGACGACAAGCCGAGACGCGTTCGCGAGCCCCGAGTACTGGGTACACTTGGCACGTGCACAAAAATTGAGGGGCAAGAAGTACCGGCGACAAAGTCTAGCCGACGCGTCTGGCGGGGGCTGCAGATGCTACCCTGAACCACCGCCATTCCTTGGCGGTTTCAACCAGTGGTCAACGTTGAAGGCATCTAGATGGCATTGAGCACATCAACGTGAAG